CGTTGTTATATTGTGTATGAGTGTGCATATGCAACTTCAAAGTTAACTTCCTTGCGTCATTAAATTTCTTATTCTATTGCTAAGGAAATAATCATTGCTTGGTCGGATCATGATCATGGTTCATGTAATATAGTAGTTTAATCGCAACTATAAACACCGTATGCCATTGCTAGTATCGATCTGAACGGGTTAATTTACATTTTACTTTACATTTAACTTCCTTTGGCAAATATAAGGAAATATCAGGAAGTATATGGGGAAAAAAGTAATATAATTTTAAAAAATGTTTGCTTTGAAACAAATCAAATAAATATTGCCTAAATTATCATAATCATACCATATTTTTACTATTTTCCGATCAATTTGTTTTCTCATTGTGGAAAAAAGTAACAATCCAAAAAAATTTCACAATTAGACATTTTTCAAACTGGTTTCCTTCGTATTTTGTCATTAAATCCATCAATATTATCCCTTTTGTAGCCATTACCTCTTTGGTAAAAGATAACATATTGAATTCTACTGTTACCAATTGTATTTCAACACAATCTTATGTAATTAAGTAAATTAACTGCAATTAATATGTTACGGTTAATTTACTTAATTTAATCTATTTAGTTCGTAAATGTCTCATTTTTTTATTATACTTACATTGGAACAATTTAAATGTAAGTCCAGTATAGTGCGGGTCTCTGTCTGTTCTGTCAATATTCCGCATTGATCGAGAACTTTCAAAAAGCATAAAAAGAAACTTTACTATAAAAGACTTGTCTGTATAATGAAAAAATATATCAGTTATATATAGAAAAAAATAGTTTGTCTCCGATTTTTATAGAATATATTTAGATTTTGTCAATTGTTATTTAATTTGTTTTGAAATTTTTAACCTATTCGGACTAATCGAAACCGCACTCTTGAGGTAGATTTTGAAATTACTTGAACAACATATTAACTCATTTGTATTGGTATCAAGACTAAATTTATTATTTCAAGTTTAGGTATTTTAATAAGTTTTTTTTATGATATTCCAGTAGTTTTACAAATATAACTTTTTTGCGTTATTGTTACTGCTATTTCTTACATCACCAAATGTTGGTTTATTCTAGTAACTGTGTGATCGATCCTAGTAGACATCCAAGACAAGGCAAGCATATTTAATCGAGTTTCAGTGTAATGGAGTTCATCGCTTTTGCAACGGAGATCTCAATGTTGTCGAACGGCTAAACCTCGAAAGCTCACCCTCGTAAGCACAAACTGTCACCTAATTCAATACAAGTTTACCTACGTGTCGGGCTTTCCGCTATGCATGATTAGAGATGAAATTATCCAGATTTGCCGATGGCTCAAGAACGAAGAACGAACGAGAGAGAAAAAGAGTATAGGATGAGTATAAAAAAAAGCGCTCAGGAAAACTGGAGCGCCTAACATCCTTGGAACGAAATTGCACAGTAATCCTGAATGAATTAACTGGCTTCCTTTCCGCTAGTCAATTTTTTCTCGCCCCGCTTTGTGCGCGCCATCGGACAAAAAGGACTTGATGTCGTGCCTGGATAAGAGCGGGACCGGGCGTTTCATTATTGGGTGGAAAAAGGAAAGAATAAAGAAAGAAAAAAGCCTCTCTCCACGGATTTAGACGCCCGGCAATTTCATCCCTTCGATCGCTTCAATCGCCCCCTCAACGGCAATAAAGAAAAAATCCGATTTATGAATTGATTATTACGTAACGTTACGCAATAAATTCGTTACCGCGTCTTCCGCATCCCTTCAAAGGATACTCATCTTTTCCTCTTTGTTTTATTTTATTCCGAGGCATGCCTTCCGCGAAAGTTCCCGTTCGGAAATATCCAATCTCCGAGATGGAGTTTAACTTTTGGAGATTGCTTGGTAGTAGAAGAGAACATACTACGAGGAGGACGACGATGATGGAGGGCATGTTGATAGATGTTTTATTATCTCGTCTGCTGGGAGTTTATGTTTAAGCGTATTCATCTTTTCGCCCTTAAATATTGTGCATGCAGGCGCGTTCTCAAAATTGGGTCCATATATATTACGTAAATGGGGTATACGACGGAGAAGGAGAAGACGAGCGGTCGCAGACCTCTGCAGCCATGAAATTGAATTTTTAAAACAAGAAATTTACAATTACTTCAAAGACGAAATGAAATCGCATTACGAATCGATTTATTATGATTGACTTATATTTACTGCAGTCTTCTCATTCGATTTTTAGTGGTAAACGTATTTTTTATCAGGTTTTCTTAAGAAAAGTATATCGATTATTAAATTTCCTACAAGAAATTTATAAGTAAAGCTTTACCTTGCATAGTCCGGGTAATCAATATCCTAGACTGTTTAAAATCGGACTATTCGTAGATCTAAATACAAAAAATGATAAAATGATAAGAGGCTTGACTATATTGAACAATACTGTACTGAATCCGATCTGATTGAGGCCGGATTATGAGAGGTATTGCTTGTACTGATTTATGCTTATTTATGTCTGATCATTCACTGGTAAATGTATTTTTTAGGGGTCATAAGTCTATTATTGAACATGTGATTCTGATTCACGTTTATTATGTGTGTTTTATCACTCAAGTTCTATATATTTTAGTGTATTACTATTATATGTACCGCACTTTTTTTCCTGACGATAAAACATCGGACTATATAATAACGTTCCACAAATTTATGAAACAATTGTTACAAAAAAAATATTTTATTATATAATAAACTATAAGACGAACCCCATTTCTAAGGCAATTTCTCGACGTGAAAAGGTGGGTCTTGTAAAAAATACTGTATGATAACCTGTAACGATGCTTCTAAATAAGAAATTACTACAGTTATTTGATTCTGAAGTACGAATTTTTATAGTTTTTTTTTTTATTACCATTTTGCCAGTAATAATTGAGTTTTTAATCTTTAGTTTTAAAGAAGATAAGTAATAAGACATTAATGAACATAAATTAAAACTTTTGTGAGTTGTTTTCATAACATCTTAGATTTCAAAAGAATAAAAAGGTGCAACCTTTTGAGTCCTAGTGGTATCATGTCGAAACCACCTTTTTAATAATTTGCTAGAGGTGCTATTTTACTGAAACCACGCTCTTATATAATGTACACTATTGGTTGCTAGATCTAGAATCATTTTAAATATTCCTTTACAAGGAAGACTACGCTTATGTAAAATTGTATACAAGTTTGGTTGTGAAATATGACAACATAATAAAACACACGGTTACGCAAAGGGTTAAATGAAATATATGATTTTTCAATACAGAAATACCTCGTACTGTACGGGTAATAGGTTTCGCTAATATAGGTGCGGGCAGTCCGGACTAATCGAGGACTTTAGAAACGCGCAAAAATACCAAACTGTATACAAAATAATTCGAGAACCCGCACTGATCGAAGCCATACTATGCTGTACATTCACCTTTGTAGTTTTATACATTAAAATATATTTATTTCTAAATCTTTATTATTTGAAAAGTCATATCTGTCTACTTTTATGATCACATATTTCTATTGAAGTTTTCCAATTATTTAAATGTGTTAATTTTACTATTATGCATACTCAATTATGTAACGTCAATAACTTTATGTGCGCACATTAAAAATCAATCAATTCATTGTTTACGATTACATAATACTTCTGTTGATAGTTTCCAATTATTGAAATGTCTAAATTTCACTGCGTCATTCTGTAAAATGTAAGAACCCAATTCGAATGCATTGTTTCGTGCAGGAAATGAGAATTGAAGAAAAAAAAAGAAGCATCGTTTCGTTTGTTAGGTGGATTAAACCACTCGCACTTGGATGCACTTTGCAGCCACATTTTCTTGGTACATACATTCGATTAAAATTATCTTTTTGATCTCCGACGCCGGGGTAAAACAAGCTTCCACGTTTCGAGTCGACTGACTCCAGTGGCTTCTGCTGCTGCAGTTGCTGCTGTTGCACTTGGATCCTAATCGTGATAGCCTCTAGTAGTAACAAGCTGTTCCCCAAGATTATAAAATCAGTGCTCTTTCGCTTAAATGTTTGTCTCTCTCTCTTAATATGATTTCAAAAACTAGCTGGAAAATTATATCTACGTGCACTGCTCAATTTTGTCCTTCAAGTTATTAATTAATTTAATATTTATTTAGCTTAAAAATCTCAAATATATTTATAATAAAATCAATTATTTCTAAAAATAAAGGTGCGTGCATGTATCAATTGATTAAACTTGTCTGTGTTTGGTCTTTTGAAGTTAAATTGTATTTTCATGTTCGTATGTCAATATCGATAGAACTGTACTTTACAAATCCTAAGGGCCACAGTTTAACCCAAATATGCAAACTGTAAGCCTATAAAGTTGTATTGTATTGCTCGAAGCACTGACGAAATATGCTGAAATCCAAGAGAACTATTGATCCAAATCCTTTGAATATTAACGCCAACATATATTTACATGCAAACAAAAACTAACGAGATTTAATTGCCTCGATGGACTCAGGTGAATGGGGCTTCGTTATTGTGTATAGTCCTTAATTTGTTGGTGTATCTAATTGTATGGTCAATATCAATTTGAATCTGCGTCCATCCATATAGACACGTTCACATAGTGAGAGAGGATGGGGACAGGAACGTAATGAATAGTAAACATAATCCGATTTCAGTATTGATCCACTTGCTACATGTATTTACATTCAAATATCGAAAACATAATAAATAATTGAATATTTATCGCAGCGAGGCAACAACGATTCATGTTTACATGGAGCGACTTTCTCATCAGGAAGAGCTAATGGGAAAACGATGGATGCAAGGCGATAAGGATGAGCACAGGGAATGCAAATTTTTAGCATGAATAAACAACGGGATGGGATCCGGGATTAAACTGCCATCAACGGCTAATCATTGTTTACTTGCCTACAAGAAACGAAATAAGCTTCATGTTTTCACCCTACTTTTATGTTGCAATCATTAACTTTATGTGTTTTTGTTTTTTGCAGGATGACAACAAACCCACCAAGACTGGGGAGAAGAAACGCTGGATTCACGACCCTTCAAGTAAGTTTTAGTGTATTCACTTTGCTTTTTATGTATACGCGTATACTTTTTATCCAATACAACTTTGCAACTGAAACATCGGCATCATAAAGAACTCAATATTAACTAAGCCAATGGAAGTAAATAATCAGATATGATATAAAGTAGCATATACACATATGTGTGTAATTTACTACTTGACAAGTAATGTATTTTGATTAAGATGATCGTAAACTTACTTGTGTTTCTACATTACAAAATTATTGAAACTACTTTTACAAGTAGCCAAGTAAATGTTACATTTTCAGTGTATTGGCTTTGTTCTTTATGTAAACGCATTTATTGTTTATATAAAAAGCCGTTACAAATAACAAATTGTATCACAAAGATCATAATTTGAACTAAACCAATGAGGTTATACAGCAAACAAGATCAACTAAAACACGTAACCCATATAATATAATTTGTGTTGTTACTACTTGATAAGTAGTTCTCGTTTACTTACGAAGTATAAATATTAATTGTATTGTTGCACACATTCTTAAATTATTGAAACTGTTTTATAACTAGCATAGTACAAGTTACTTGACAAGTTTAAATATGTTATTGCAAAATGTATTAAGTACATGATACTAGACAAGTAACCTAACACAAGTGCCATGTCTCTTAACAAAGTACTTGACAAGTACAACTTAGTACAAGCGAGATGTTTTTTAAACTATAAAATAATTACATTTCCATGTTTTGTATAATACTTGTACCAGTTCACGACTTCACATGATGCACTTAGGTTAAATATGTGATTAAAAAAAAGTACAATGTAGCTTATAGCTTGTGATAAATCTTATCTATAATGTTTACGATTTTGTATGGAGCCTTTATGAATTTGGGTCGATGGGCTTTGGAAGCCGGAGGGGGCTTGCCTTATGCAGCAGCCATCTGGTATGGTATATTAAATGCTAACGCTCCACGAATTCCATCAAATATTAAACCACTTTCGGAACTCATCATCTAGTTTAATATGTTGGTGGCTATTGCATCGCCAGTAATGCGTTGCCTCTGATCATGTAATTCCCTTTGATGCACACACATTTAGCTGCATAACTCTCATCTATCATCTCACGTAAATGTTTTCTAAATGCGGTTTTCCATTTATTGAAATACAGGTGGAAATGAACATATTTTGTTGTTTAAGTCTCTATATATCTTATGGTTAAATTTTCATAGTTTATAAGCTAATTTCATGGTATACAAACTAATCAAAGTCTTGATTAGTTTTGTGGTTTAGATTTATTACTATATTTTTAAGTTTCTAGATTGTTGAAAAGGTTACATTTATTAGCTCCGATGTTAAGGTTATAATTTGTGATTAGACGTTTAATTGGAAGTTATGTTAAGAATTAAATTGAGAAGATAGGTATTATTAATTGGATTGAGCTTGTTCTCAGTTTTATTGAAGGTTTAGTTAAAGCTGAAGTTACAGGTTAGGTTCATTACCTCATTAGGTAGATATTACCTTAGCTGTTTAATTGGGTTTTAAAGAGGATTAAAGAGGATATGTTCAATTATGAAGAATTATTATGAAGATTATTTCTTAAGTTAAGGGTTTGGTTAATATTTTAATTACAAGTTGTGAAATAGGTTACGTTGCTTGTCAGTTAGTTTAGAGACTATAATCAAATATAATCTTTAACCTAACTTCCAATTAAAGGTTAGGTTAAGATTTACATTGGATACAGGCGAGAGTATAGGCATTGAAGGCTATGTCAGAGGATAAGCAATTCAATTGTTGAGAACTGATTTTTAGTTATTTTAGAGGTTACTCAAATGTAATCCTTAACCTAACTTCCAATTAAAGGTTATGTTAAGATTTACATTGGATATAGGCGAGAGGATAGGCATTTTAAACTGATTCATTTAATTTAGAGGTTAGATTATGCATTAAGTTACGACGTTTAATTGGAGGTTAGGTTAAACAATACATTGGAGGCTATGTAAGGTTAGGTACTTTTAAAACTGATTCTGCAACTAAAATTGTTTAATATTTATGAAAATACATAGATATGATTATAATAATTATGATAATTATGAATATACTTTGAAGGTATTATACAAATTCGTATATTGATCCAGGATATACATATTTACAATATGTACGGAATATGTTTATTAGGTTTCCTTTTATAACATTGAAACTAAATAAAGGTATAATATATGAATAATTCAAAGGCGGTGAAAATATAAGTCGTTCATGGTGAAAACTTTCCAGTTAAAAAGTTCAGAGGAGAATAAGGTGAAAAATCTCACAAATCCAAATATTATTTTACGACTCGCAGACAGCGTGTGCAAGTTGAGAGGATCGAATTACCAAGTCGGCGAGTATTCTCGCAAGTTATTCAATTTCTCGAAAATTCCGTCCGGTTTATTGTTCACCTTTTTATTTTATTATTTTTATGCATTATATTGCAACGAGCTGCAATAATATATTCTAAATGATTATGAATCGAAGCAACGCACGTTATGAATTTACTTCGGGCTATATTTTTTTTTAAATTTTTCAATTTGTTTCAGCTGCAAATTCGCACAAGTAAAAATTACAATTAGAATATGCAGGAACTGCATAATTCAGCGTGTACAGGTTTCATCAGATTTATGTTAATCAGCTGTAATCCTATGCAAATACATGGAAAATTGGCGCGTTTATAAATAGGGCATTCATGTTGTGTGTGTGTGTAATGTTACAACAGGATTCGTTGTGTATGGACGTACGCCTCTGTTTCAAAATGTTGTTGGTGTGGATGTAAATATATAGTTTTTTTGTTGCTGTTGTTGATGTGAGCTTCATTTGTGCTGCTTTTATGATGCAAAATGCGTAAAGTGATGAGGGTTAGCCGCCCAATTTTAGCAAGTCAAATTTTTTTGGAGCTCTCGCAACTCTTCGAAACAATATTAAATAGATTATGCATTCGCTCCACTTATTCAAACTGTTTCGCCCCCTCACAGAAACTCGGAAATACACTTTCATCCGGCTAAACTTTATTGTGACCGACATTAAACACTTCTCCTTTATTGGACGACATAGTAATTTAATATATTCTTAGTGAATATTCAGTGAATCCATTCATAATTAATCAAATTAAATATTTTGTTACTATTATCAAATTACAACTATATTTTAATTTTTTATTTTCAGCTTCTCGTCACTTTTGATCTTCACATTTTTATTGTTTATTTTTATACTGGAAATTGTTCAATTCTTATATTATATTTTATATTATTTCCTATATAATTATTTATTAACTACTGAATCCGTGGGTTACTCATTGTCTACGAATTTGTAAATTATTTATTAATTGGTAAATAACCATACAATTCATTAAATACAAAGATATTAATTATGTTTTCTTAAATTTCATTCAAATGATTTTTCAGTGTTTTTCAGATATTCTTAAAAAATACCCAGACAATGGAAATTACTATTTTGTTATTTATTTTTAACGAAATTTGATCTAATTTCAACTAAATTGCGAATTAGAATTGTGATTTAGAATATTTTTTTGTAGTAATATATCAAGGCAAAAAATAGTTTTCTTATTTCTTTGATTATAAATTTGTAAATTAGCAATTTCATATTTCTTAATAATAATTATGATATATTGGCGAGAGTCATAAAAAAAGATATTACTTAATATTATCAAATTTTTGTAACTTGCGAATTTTTGAGGAGTAATCAGTATAATTTAGAGTTATTAGCGTTTTTCATGTAATTTCATTATTGAACTTCATTTTACTTAACATTTTCTTTTCCATTATAATTTTAAAGTTTGTTGCTTGAATTTGATTGGATTGATATGTTTTTTTGAGCTATTCTCTAAAAAATTTCAAACTTAATAGTCTAGCTTTTACGTAATATTCACTTAATATTGATGTGCTTTTCACATTTTTGCTTAAAACTTCTTTAGTATCTTTCTTGTATGAATAAAAATAATATTTTATGTTAAAATAAATGATGACAAATTTGAAGATTTCTTATAGAATTTAATATGAAATCATAATTTTGAGCCAAACCAAAATCAAATATTTTATTCATTTTCATATAAATCATTTACTTGTGAATTCTCCAGTATTTATCTCTATAAATTAAATTATTTCTGTTCATTCTTGTACGTTTAAGTTATATCTATATTTCTGGAATTAAGAAACTTACAGTGATTGAAAAACTTCCAAATATGCTTATAAGAGATTGTGTTGATCAAATAATTATTGTTTAAAATACGAATTAGAAAAATTGGAAGTATTTAATATACTTTGATTGAATACTTTTTTATACTTTCAACAAATTGATTTAAAAGTAAATTGTAAAAAAAATGTTTTGCTATATAAAATATGTTTTTTCAAAATTTGATAGATATTTGTGAATTAATTTATTTGGTGGAACTTAAATTTAAATATTAATATTTGATATAAAATCTTATAAAAGAATAGAAAAAAATTTAGAATTGGTTTCAATTCTTGTTTAAGAAAAAAGTAATAAAAAATACATTTACATAAAATTTGTATTGTGTAATTTATTGAGGCACTCAAAAAGTATTGGTAAATATATGGATTTTAAGTAAAACCACATTTGGTTGTGTATTGAAGGAAAAGTGGAATGAATGATTTATATATTGAAACGCTTCACAGAAAGGAAAATGGATCCTTTGTACGCAGTATTAGGAAAAGCAAGGAAAGAATATTTATCATTGGACTTTATTCGACGTGAAATCGGAAAGTTGTATCGGGGCAGCGGGGGTAAAGGCAATTTTTCCTTCGATTCTTCTACGCCTGGTCGTGGCCTGATTACAATATTGATTCCCACAAAAGTGGTGAAATCCCCATCCATAAAATATATGTATACGCTTTTCGAGGCGCAATTTCTGTGCATGGTTATAAAACACATCTATATCCAGAATACTATCTCAACTTGGAAATCTGCAACTCTTGTACAAGCATAGAATATTCTAACGAGAGGGGCCCTCCTC